TTTCATCCCATGTTCCTATAAAATTTTGGGGAGATGCTGTTCTTACTGCTACTTTTTTGATCAACCGTATGCCCTCCCGGGTCCTTGACTTCAAAACCCCCTTTAGCCTTCTCTTCCCGGATGAGGATATTTTTTCTCTTCCTCTCCGTGTTTTTGGGTGCACTTGCTATGTGCATATTCACAGTCTCTTTACAGAATGGGTTGCTCAAGGGTAGAGGCCTAATAATTTAATGTGGTATTTTTGTTGCCATCTTGTAGCATCTTTGGTCGATGGGTTGTTCCTGGTTTGTTGGTCTTTTTATGTTTTGTTTTTGTCATGGAGTTGGACCAAAGTAAGTTTTAATTGGATCCGGGTTATAAGTGGTATGGGGCTTTTGTATATCTGTACATTAATTGTTGGTCTTTGGTTGTGTGCTTAGGCTGCAAATATGACATCAGTTTTATATTCTCATTCTTTTCTTTTCTTTTATATATTTCCAATTATTATAAAAAACTTTTTTGATTGTTAAATAAAAAATTTTATTAAAAGGAAAGAAAAAAGATTACAAGAAAGGTGACAAGAAATCACCCTAGAGAAATAAAAGTAACCCTTCACCCAAGCAAAAAACTTCTGTTTGATTGCAATCTGTTTTAAATCCAAGGTAGAAAACAGAATAGGGAAGCCAATGCTGCACTGGATCATCAGTGTAAAATCAGACTGTTTATAGCTAAAGAACTTGCTTGTCTGCATACTGGGATGGAAGTAACCATAACCTATGGGAATTAAAGAAATAAAACATATCCTAGTTTTTGTTGTGGCTAGGATGTCAGAGCAATGCTTAAAACTAAGGCATGTAGCAAGGTCTGGGACCTTTAGATGTGCTGGACTTGTGCCTTATTAGTTACCATCTTATTAAGAAAAACATGAAACTAAAATGAGAATAAGTGTAGAACATGCACGAGAGGCAGGTGGCAGCAGAAAAATATGGATCCAGCAATAGAGGATGGGATCCAGGTCCAAGCTTCTCTCCTTTGGGATGTACAGTCTGGAGTGGAATCCACAAATCCTCCCTGAATTCCAAAAAGGCATTAAATATACGATTTGTAGGGGCAACATGGTTCTCTTTTGGACTGATAAATGGTGTGCTGACTCCTCCTTAGCTGAGCTTTTTCCTGGACTTCATGAAATTGCCCAGGACAAAAAAGCTACGGTAGAGGAAAGCTATGAGCTGGATGATGATGGGGTTATCTGGAGACCGGCCTTTAGAAGGAGCCTGAATTTCTGGGAAACCAATCCCATTGCTGAACTACTGGGTATCCTTCACTTTACATCTCCAAATTCTTCAGAAATTGACAAAAGGAATATTACAGGCCTTTTATTCACTGCAAATAAAATTATGACATAACTGTACTAAAGATGAATATTACAGGCCTTTTATATTCATGGCTACAACAGGAATATTGGGGTCTTGAGCCACATTTGTTTTTGGATACTGGACCCTATTCTCTTAGTTTGATGTTGGAAAGTGCTATATAGCAGGTGTAGGGGGCGTTCTTCAAAATCACCTTGGTGTGGTAGTGGCACTGTTCTCAGGACCAATTGGCTTTGGTGACTTAATTCAGGCTGAAATTTTGGCTCTCTGACAAGGTTTAAAACTTGCTGAGCATTCAGGAGCAATAGAACTGGAGATTGAGGGAGATCCACTCTTGGTTATATCTTGGGCAAAGAAAATCAATTCAGCACCATGGAAATTCAGATTTTCCCTTAGAGAAATTGACCTACTTGCAAAGAGATTCAATTCTAGTTTTGGTTGGGTTAAAAGGGAAGCAAATGGGTTGGTGGATGTTTTAGCCAAGCAGGGTGCTGATTGACCCACTCTTTTCTGGACATTATTGTAATCTGTTGTAACTTTGGTTACCTCCTTGCTAGAATGTTTGTACTAAATGAGTATCCTTTAAATTAATGAAAATATTAATTTGTTGCTCAAAAAAAGTGGTATGTACAGTCCCTCATTGTACATGAGCAGTTGTATATGCTCAAGGTTCAAAATATCGATACTCCCAATACGCCGGTAGGGGCGTATCGGGCTATATTGGTACTTTTATTTATTTATTTTTTTCAAAACCGGTTCAGGGGGGCCGATTTAAGGCTCCACGCCCTGAACCAGTCCGAACCCCGATACACCCTCTGTAGGGGTGTATCGGGGAGCTCCCAAAATGATACATATCGTGTCGATACTTTGAACCTTCTATATGCTGATAGTTTTGTAATTCTTCAATACAATATCATTTGAAAGAAAAGAAACATGCACGAGAGGAGCATATTATATACCATAGTTTTCAAGGTGCCAAGGCGAGGCTAGGCGACTGGGGGGCGCCTAGTTGCCTAGGTGATGGATTTTTTATGTTAAAAATATAGATCGTAGGGTAGTTTCCTAGGTACCATAACCATATTTCTTTAATAATTATTCATGATTTTCATAAGAAAAGTATAAATTTTATATTAAAGTATAGAAAATCAACATATTCATGAGAAGAAAAAGAAGGAAAATAAAATTCAAAAAATATAGGGGCTGAATCCTTATTTTTGTTATAGGAAAAGAAAAAAAATAAAAAGTATTGGTAGTAGTAGTAATGTGCTGATTAGATGAAATTTTTAGTTCTTCCTTATTGGTTCAGGTTTTTAAGTCTTTGAGGGTTCAATGCAGCATTTAGCAATGTTTGTGTTGATTAAACCCTAATAAATAAGAAAATTATAAAAAGAAATTAGTATATAAACACAGAAAATGATTATTTTAGTTTAATAACGTCTATTTTATAATTATAATTTCAAAAAAGAATGAATAAATTTTTTTTTTATAGTAGGAAGTAGTAAACTGTTAGGCGATTAGGTGAGGCGAGCCTCAAAGGGCGCCTTGTCGCCAAGGCGTCGCCTTGACAACTATGTTATATACACAAATTATTAATTATATGAACAAAATTTTTTAAAATATCAATGAGCTTATGGACCATTTAATAGCTATTAGAGTTTTAAATGTAAAATATTATCTCTTTAAGTGTGTATATGTACGCAAAGTAATACCTCTTTTAATATGTAAAAGAAAGGCATCTCAAGGTGTGAGGAATGTGCCTTATGCTTTCAGGCATGACCCTTGAGGCATTTCTTGAGTCTTGCATCTAGGCGGGCTGCAAGGTCTAAGCTTCACTCTTTTTAAAACATAGTGGCTTTGAGTTTTGGCTAGACAATCTGTCTGTATTTCCTATTGGTGATGAAACAGTTGCAGCAACAAAGACTGATAGTTAGCAGGCTCTAGTGCTACAGAGGATGAAGAAGTAAAAATTCATGTACAGGTTGGGATATCACTGTTGGAGATTTTGATTGGGAATATGCCTGGTTAAGTTGCTTGAACTGGGAAACTTGACTTGCCATTACTAGTGAAGGTGGCAATTTTGAAGGAGATGATGATGGGAGTTTTTGGTGTGATGTTGAAGGGAATCAGGAGCCCCACGGAAGATGGTTTGTTTCAATAAAAGCTTGCAATAGTATGTGCTTTGGTAGCCTCAGACGGGCATATCATTGATGAAATTGTTGATCAATCAAGAGAATGAGCTCCTTAATGGTCTCCTTTGTTATAGCCTCACTGAAAGCAGTACTTGGAATTTTTGAAAGGTGATGGTTTTCCTTTTCATTGTCAATGTGGGTTCTCCATCTTTGGCTGACAGGAGATGAATATGAGGAGGGTTGATTAGTCTAATAGCTATTTGTAGCCCTGGTTAGACTTAAGGAAAGGACAGATCAGGCACTTATTTGTAACCCTGGAAAATCCCCATAGTCTATCTTGAAATGTATCCATATGAGCTATTTTCCCAATTAATTTTGCATATCTTGCCATTTTGCCTCTATAATCAGTTGGAAGTTACTATCTTTGCAGGTGGATGACACCCTTGATTTGTTCAATGAACTACAACTACAACATCATGCAGTAGCAACAAAGACTAAAACTTTGCATGATGCATGTGATCGATTGGTAAAATCCTGCTCAAGTATCCTGGTTTGAATTTGTTGTTTGGCTTAGTTGTTTTATAAATTGTTGCTGTTAAACTTCAATGTCATGATTGGCTATGTTGACATTACAATACATGGATGATTGGTTTAAGGTATGTGTAATTTGCATGGATGTATCATGTCTATATCCATTGGATTTATATTTCTATATTTAGGTGTATCTTGTGATATTGAAAACCAGCGCCTGTAGGTGTATAGGATCTGAATTTAGTATAGTTGGTCTTGAGTATTTCATGCTGAACTAAAAGGTAGAGGCTATATTTAAGATTAAATACTAAATTAAAATGTTATAATAGCAGGTTTTGTCTGCTATTCAAGGAGAAAGCAAATTATACCGCAATGGTTGTTCCCTCAATAACAAGGGCATAGTTGTCAGGGCATATAAGCAATTCTATGTGACAGGGAGTTCCTAGTTCCTAGGTCTTGCCTAGGCAATAGAATTTTACAAGGAAAAAACTAAACTCTAGATTAGTTTGCTAGTTTTGTATACCAATCAATCTGCATATAAACTGAAAAAATATCAATGCTCTTTACAAATGACATTGATTTCCTATGAAAACATGGCAAATCATCATATTCCAAAGGACAAAAGCATGAGTATTTAATAAAGCAATTGCATGTGCCATTTATGAAGCAAAATGGCAGGATAGGATTCGTGTAGCAGGTCTCAAACAGTTGGGATTATGGATGAATTAAGTTTAGTATTGTTGAAGTTTGACCTGCCATAGAATTCTGTCTTGTTCGTTGACTGTAGAGTAAAGTAGACAGCAAGAAGTAGGAGAGGAAAGAGGAAAGAAGAAAAGAGAGAAGAGAGAGAAGAGAGAAAGGCTGGTTCGAATTAGGGAAAAAAGTTAATCCCTTGATTCGGCCAGACCTGTTATTATATTA